ATATACCACCCCACTGGAAGCTAATTTCGCAGCATTACTGAGAGGGGACTTACGCTCCACACCCGCATAAAGTTGCCCAAAGTTCGAAAGGACAACTATCATGACGGGAGGACGCAGGCGAGGAAGCGAAGTCAAGCCGGCAAGTGCCACGTCGTCACACCTCCTGTAGTATTCTTCAAACTACAATTGTCCGTTATCGTGTACATGAGTCCGAATTCTCAAAAATCCGTGAAAACTATGATTTAGAATGATAACGTCCCTGAAAGATCTCTAATCAATCGAAACGTGACAAATAAAGTGCGATGCTGAGCAGTAGTTCTCTGTGAATCACAACTGTCAGACAGGAAGTGTGAAACAATGGCGCAACCCGGGCTGAGGATACCCTTCTCAGGGGTAAGTGACAAGAGAATCGTAATTCACCGCGCTGATGGGCGTCGCGTGCGACGTCGCGCCCGCAAATGACGATGGTTCCAGGTAGTAGATGGCGAGGCAATTCAGAACCGAAAATAGTCATGAATGTCTACGATGACGGGGTCTACATGAAGTCCGGTGCTCCAATCGACAGGTTAACACGAGTTAAGAAAACGCCGCGCCCATCGCCGCGCGCGGCGGAGCGGCAAATTACGATTCTCTTGCCCGTCTCCCCTTCTCAGAACACTGAAGTGGAATCATCAAACATCAAATGTTACCGTGTTGCGTCACGCCAATGTGATTATTAACAACTGTGTAAGAGATGCATATTGATTAGTTGCAGGTAACAACGGTAATTCCGCTTATTCACGACTATGATGAAGCAACGGAAGAGGTGATTACGTAGTTTGGAAGGGCCACGCGACGGCGCCTCTGTGCCCCATCTCCGCCCCTCCCTCCCCCCTCCCCCTTAGAACCCGAGTATTCAAAAATGAATACCGCTTTCGTAATCAGGGCATTGAAAAATTTCTTTGGACGAAGTGTCAGCGTTAATTTTTTTTCGAGTTCTCGAAGCCGTAATAGCGGAATAGAGCCTACAAAAAAAGTGGTTAATCCATAGGCCGATGTTACCGACAGCGAACCGCCGTTTCACCAGCTGTGAGCAAGATCCTGGCAAAAAGCCAAGCCGAGCGATGAGCTGTTTTCAGCATAGGGCACATCGTTGTTGGGGATTCCCAAACATGGGGAGGGGGTATTTGGACTGAGAAAAACTCTTTTTGATTGTTGATGTTCCTTGTTTCAGGGACGTTGTAAAGGGAGAGTCGTCGTTATTGGGAGGGAGAGGGTCGTATCTCCCTTTTGCGAGAGAATGCTGACTTTTCGTGGTTTGCCCTGTTTCATGTGTAGTATTTATACCCGTACACACACCCGCAGTTCATGTCAAGCTTCCTTAGACTTTACGCTTTCGTGAGTGGTGCTTTTTGCGCACACTTCGGCTTGGGGGGGACACCGAATGGTACTCAGGGGATATGTGGCAAGAGAATCGTAATTCGTCGCGCCAGTGGGCGTCGTGTGCGACGTCGCGCCCCAATGACAGCGATTTTAGGTGATACTGGCCGAGAATAGACAATGCATGACCAGAACTAGTAATAAGTGCTTACAGTGCTTGCTACAGGAGTCCGATGCTCCAGTCGAAAGGGAATGCAACTAAGGGAGACGTCGGCAGCCCATTCCGCGCGCAGGCGAAGGCGGCAACTCACGATTTCTTAGCCGCCTCCCGTACCATGTCAGGTGAGCTTGCACAAAGCAAAACCGTGAAGTGCACGACAAGTGGCTCGATTGAAGAATTTCGCAACTTAAGGCGGTGTACGGTCTGACAATTTGCCCTCCAAGCCGGAACGGCCCCCGTTTTTTTCTCTTGTGGTATTTGTGAGAAGCACCACGTACATTTCTAGTTTCTATTAGCAAGGAAACGTGTGAAATGAGAGTATACAAGCACATAAAAAAGAAGCGTTACAAAAAAACGGGAGCTCAAAAGCGTCGTTCGAATGCCCTTTTGGCCTTTATGTTTGCCAACTCTCCACTCAGAATGTACTTGTGCGAGTCAAAAGTTGACTCGTGATGTGATGGCTGGCAATCATTTGTCGAAACTGCTAATGCACGCCAGCGATACAGACCTCTCCGAATTCCCCCCTCTGTCCCGAACTGCCCGAATATAGTCAAATCAACACATTCCATAAATATTTGTTTAAATGTTCCCACAGAAACGGGTACGGAAAAAAGCCCGTTGTGGTGAAAGAATGATGAGAGAATTTGGGGCTTTTTTACGGCAAGAGCTAACGCGACCTGAAGTTTTCGCGGACACACGGGCGCTTCCTCATCAAAGACCCTAGAGTCGAAGAATTTGCGAATAGGATCGATCCACTGTCGTCATTATTGCTTAGTCAAATATATGTCCCCTGATAGGCTCTTCGTCAGAATCACGCCACAGTAAGAGTGCAGTCATACTTTGCGTCAGCGTTTTGCGACTAGGAAAGTATAAGTATTGATCCAGCGCTCAAGCCATTGGATCGATACCTATACTTTCTTGGTCGCTCAAGACGTTCGCGTGCACCGAAAACGCTGACGCAAAGTATAAACGCTCTGAGTATTTAGCCTGCGCAGTGAACAGTGACCGGCAGCTGGTGTCCTGTTTTGAGTTGCTGTGCACCCGGACAAGTCTGGTGGCGAGAACCCAGGGATATGAAAACCTTGGTCTATCTGGGCGTTCCAGCTCACAGAGCGTCCCTATTTCACTAAACAATACCTTTTCATACTGCACGCACATGTTATGCTCGGCCTCAGCTTTTATATTTACCTAGAGGATTACCCACAAACACTCGAGATTTACCCAGAGTGGGTAAGCTTCCCATTGAACTTACATGTCAGTTGGCAACAAGGCAGTTGTAAATCACCTCACGGAAACAAAAATAGATTTCTTGAGGAGATGATAATAACCAACCATAGAAAAAGATCTAAAAAAAGAACTCCTGCCTTAATTCCGAGCAGTTGGGATTAGAGCTAAGGCATGACGTAGCTAAGAATTTCCTACGGAGGTCTCGTATGTGAGCTGTAGCAATAGGTTTGGGGTAACATCTGCTTCAGAAGGAACTGGGAGTTAAGACGGGTTATCCTGGAAGGTATGCCAATTCCGAGTGAAGTTCCTGAATTCCCTCTCCCTTCCCGGACGGAACCTTTTCTTGGGAAAATTGGAAAAAAGTGAGATCATGCTGCAAATAAAGCTGAGCCGGACTGGCCAGATGGGGTCGTAATTGAAGAGGCGGTGAAGCGAAGGTAGCGCTGAAGCGACTATTTTCCTCTTCCGCGGCCGGAACCTTTCTCTAATAGTCCCAGACACTGTAGACGTCTCAGACCGAATAGCTATACCTACCATTAACGATACGACGCAAAATAATGTTAATATCGTCGCAGTTCAGCGAGTGGGGCAGGCAATTCGTTGTTGGGGAATCCCCAACAGGGGGTCTTATTTTCAGCGGGATAATTCGGAAGGATACATTGTGTTCAGAAAATTCTCCCACCTCCGTCGAGGGTTGCGCCAAAACTGGTCAAACTTATAACCGATGGCAGGAGCCTCCTTGGTGACTTATCCGTCATTGCTCATGGGATACGGGCTTTCCCCATTGAGCCAGAAACCGTGTAGCTTGCTGGTATGCGACAGACAATCGTATCCAACGTTCGCGTGCGACGATTCTGGCGCGCGCAAGTGACGGTGTTCCTAGATTCGGCAATAGACACGTATAAGCAAAAATTAGTCATATGATGTCTATGATTGTTAAAGTGAAATCCGGTGATTCAACGGAAGGTTGCGTAATGTGAGAAAAACCATAACAAAGAACAAATAAACAGAAGCCATAAATGTCTACGATGTTGAAGTGAAATCCGGTGATTCAAACGAAGGGTTATGTAATGTGAGAAAACCCCGCGCGCGACCGAGCAACAAATTACGATTGTCTTGACCGTCTACGGTGAAGTGGTATCCAACAATCTTGACCTGACACCCTTCTCCTTGCCTACAAATCATTATCGGAATGGGTGACCGCATCGCGACCGCTCGCTTAATAGTCATCTTTTGCGTACTAAGCAGAGTTTCACTCTGTGTCTGTCCTTATGCGTGCAACTGTTACATGAATTCAACATACACCGTTTTTCCTTCAGTAAATTGGACTGAAATATCGAATAAGTCAACAAATAATTATTGGGATGGGTTACCCGCATCGCGACCGCTCGCTTAATAGTCATCTTTTGCGTACTGCCATTTCGCACTGGCAGTTTCGCTCACTATCTTTTCTTGGCGTATTGTTGGTATACAAATTTTGGATCTGCAGCGTATTTCTAACAAATTAGACTATGTTCGAATTAAACATTCGAATACGTGAAATTAGGAGCGCTAATCGACAGGCTAATGTAAATTGAGGCAATGCCGTGCCTATCGCTGCGCGCTACGGAGCTACAAATGACCATTGTCTTGACCGCCTCGCATGAACGCCCTTCTTTTTGCCAACAAATGACTGCATCGGATGCGCGTAATCCGCACCGCGACCGGCTCGTTACAGTCAAAGCTTTTTGCGTGGTGCGTAGAATTTCGCCTTCACATATCTTTCCTCGGGCGCTACAATTTGATGCACAATTTTCAGTTCACAGCGTATTTCCTCCAGTAATCAGACTATATTACAGAATAAACATCGAACAAGCGTTGGCTCATCCGTACCTCGAACAGTACTACGACCCGAATGACGAGGTGATTTTTCCCCTCAATTTCATTGCACTATCGATCGATTTCAAAGTGCGAGCTCATGTGTTTTATGTGAGGCATAACGCGGCGGCGCTTTGAAAACGATGACGCAATTGAAACCAAGTTGGACGTGCCCTCAAAAAAAAGGGAAGCAATAAATGATTTTGTTTCTTTTAGCCGGTGTGTGAAGAACCATTCACGTACGAAATGGAGCTGGACGATCTGCCAAAGGAGAAGCTAAAAGAGCTGATTTGGCAAGAGGCTGAACTACATCACACTCGTATTTGCCAAGAAGAAGCCGCCGAAAGCTTTGCTGTACAATAAGAGACGGCCGCCCTGCCCCGCGGCTACCTCGTCACCCGCCCGCCGTCACAAGGCGGATTGTGTTTCATGTCATGTACAGCCGTTGGCCTCTGATTATCAGCTGATCTGCTACATAACCACTCCTCCGATCAATCAATTCTGTCCCGAGAAGAAAAAAAGAAAAAAAAAAAAAAGAAAAGAGAAGAAAGCAACGGACGAAAATGGCAATTGGATCGAAGGTGCAGTTGATCGATGATCTTGCCTAGCAATTCTGTCAAATTGGACAGCATCCATGCCCTATCAGCCTATTCCTCTTACGTTGGTCCTTCGCGTACGGTTACATTTTCGTTCGTTCGGTTTGTTAGCGTTCATTCATTCATTCATTCATTCATTCATTCATTCGTTTGTTCATTTTGTTCCCTGGTTTTGTTTTCTAGTGTTGAACTGTAGAGAGAGCGCTCTATGAGAAACGCATTGACTACTCATTCAATGTCTCTCGGTTGTTTGCATTGCTCCGTCACATATCGACTCGTCTCTCGTGTTTCTGGCCAGATCGGTGCAGTGTGTCGTTTCGTTCCTGTCTTCCCCCCCCCCTTTCCCCATTCCACAAAAATCGTTTCATCATTCTTTTCTCACCAATACCATTTACACCATTTCTTTGCACCATCCATTGCGCTGCGTTGCGCTACGATCCGCCGTCGCCAGCGCTTCCTCACCCACCCACCGTCTGAGAATACAGAGATATAATTTGTAATTTTGTATGTACATGATTTTTATTTTTTTTATTGTCGTGATGTTTTATACCTTCAGATACAGATTATTCTAATGTGTTATTATAGTTTCAAGTGTTTGAAGATTCCTTGATTTACTGATGACGTAAAAATCAATATGTTGAATCATGAATTGAGCTTATTTATGTCTCAAAACCTATGAAGCTCTAGGGGGAGCGGCTCTATGCAAGTTTTTTTTGTATGATGTTTTAACAAGCGCCGTCGCCATGAAATTGAAAGCTAGGAGATGACATGTCCTCCAAAATTTGATTAGATGACACGTAACTTGTTAATGACAAGGGAAACCTGTATTTTTGTTGTCAGTGACGTCATTAACGTGCTATATGACGTCAGACAGGTCATGTTTCTCCTAAGCGCTGCGTACCTGTGCTGCATCAGCGACTGTAGTTGATACATCGTTACAGCCGTGTAACCCGGTGGTGTCAGCAGGTGTGGA